CCTGTGTGTGAGTGTGTGTGCCTGTGTGTGAGTGTGTGTGCCTGTGTACCCGGGTGTGTGCCTGTGTGTACCTGTGTGTGCCCGTGTGTGAGTGTGTGTGCCTGTGTACCCATCTGCCACTGAGCCGCAGCTCCAGGGCCTTTTATTCCATTTTTGGATTTTCTTTTAATTACTTCTTACACCTGGGCTTGGCTGAGTTAGTGACTCCCCTCAGGGCGCCCTCCCTTACACTGGCCAGGCCCCCTGGGTGAACCCACAAAGCACAGAAGCCCACACCCGCCCTGATGGTCTCCACGGCACAGAGCACAGAAAGTAAACATCTCTTTACCTTCCTTGGGCTCGCCCGGACAGCAAATAGAATGAAAATATTGAAATGACTTCATTTGTGCAGACTTTTACTCCCTCTACTACTTCACTGCTTCCCAAGTCCCTTCCTCAGGGTGTCGCTTGCCAGAATTCACCTTGAGGGGCGTGAACAGAGCTGACCTGTGCACCTGGGATCGCTACACTGTCCTCCCAGCCGGGACTGCGCCGTCAGCCCTCACCTGACGCCTCGCTCTTTAACAACTTCATGTCTGGGTGCACGGGGCGCTACTGTGCACAAGGGTGACAAAACACAGATTTGTTTGCACCACTCAGACATTTACATGTATGTTCATGTATGAAGTAAGTGTTCGCTGTTGTCTGTCACCTAAGTGGATGAGGAAAGTGTAGTCAAAGCCTCAGTGGGAGACAGGGGCACCCAGAGGAGAGTCTATGGTATTGAGGAATGTCAACTACCAAAACAGAACTTATGCTACAGAGAAAATACTCCGCAGGCGAGAAGACAGATCCACTCCCCACTATTAACCCAGGAGGCAGAGACGCGTGTCACCTCCTCATCCAATCACTGAAAACCCGACCTGAACAACGACAGCAGCTCCTGTCACCAACAAGGAAGGGAGACAGAGACAGAGAGAGAAAGAAAGAGAGAGAGAGAGAGAGAGAGAGAGAGAGAGAGAGAGGGAAGGAGGGAGAGAGGAAGGAAGGAAGAAAGAAAGGGAGGGAGGGAGGGAGGAAAGAACAATCTCTCTGCCTTCTCCTGGAACGCTGGCTTTCTCTGCTTTCGAGCTTGTCGCTCCATGACGGCGCCCTAGCCTTAGGCTGCCAACCTGTAGAATGGCACCGCAGCACGCTCTCCGCTTGGGCTCCACCTCCAGCAGGCAGTGTCCTGGGTACTCAGCCCTTGCCCCACAGATCTGGGGACTTGTTAGCCCCTAGAACCACACAAGTCAATCCCTGGGAACCTGGAGTCCTATGTCACCCCTCAGCCAATGACAAGTGTGTGCCGGCGGCATGGGCGTCATCTCTGTTTGCCTAATACTCACTATGGCACACCAACTGCCTAGGCTCGTCTCCACGGTGCAGCACGGTGACCGTGTTCGGACACCGTCACCCACACGCACATCCTCGGGCTGCCACCCTTTCCCTGTGAGGCGTCCTGTCCAGGACCTGCCCGTCTTTCTCTTTCCATCACAACACGACCCAGGCCACTTCCCTCCTGTTTCCTCTCCGGGGTATCTGTCCTCTAGGTCAAAAGAGCAGGAGAGTGAGAGAAGCCACGTTTCTGAGGAAGTGAGGGCTGAGGCCTTCCCCACCCCGGCCATGCTCATCCTGTCCACTGTCCATATTAGGATAAAAGTGACACTCAAGAACAAAGTTCGAAACCACAGGTGGGCTCAGTGCCCACGAAAGGTCAAAGTGTGTGTAAAACTATCTCTGACAAGAAAGTATTCTGTACAATTTTCTTCTGAAAAGTTATATCCCATACTATTTAAATCTACCTTAAAATTATTCATATTATTCAATGAAATTTTTCCTTTAAGAATCTTAGAAAAGAGTCCATGGTTGAGGCATATGTCGTCTTGATTCTTGTATTCATTCCTCAGTGTAGCTATAAAGAGTTCTTTGGAGGAAATTCTATTTAGATTACACTAAATTCTAGGGGCTCTCAGCATTTCTAAGGCTAAAAATCAAAGGCCGACAGCAAGACTGTAATTGCTTTTTAATAGTTCTCATAGAAGTGACCTTTCTTATCAGCTCAAAATTCTAGACCCGAGAGAAAGATCAAAGTGATGCATTTCCCATTTTAAATGTCACCTTTGCAATATCTCCTACAGCTTTAGCTACCCAGGAGAGAAAATTTAAAATACCTGAAATTCTTTCAATTGACTCTTGGGCCTGATCACATGTAAAGATTATTTAACCTCGGCTACTTCAGGGGCTTAAAGTGGATTATGTCATAGCCAGCTCGGCAAGGCAAAGTAATGAGACTCTTTCTGAAAAGCAAAGTCCTGTTTCCACAGTCGTGTGGGAGGAACACGCCCCACATTCTATTCGGCTACATCAGCTAAGGTGCAAAGCGGGAATAAAGGGCTGCTCTGTGTGAAAGGATTAAACAAATCACATGAGTTAATGAAAGCTAAAATATCCAGCAAAACTTTAAATGCCATTTGTTCAAGAATAAATTGCCCGAAGGCAGTAACTAACGTGAGGCAGAGGCGGGCAGTCCTCAGAATAAGTGGCCTGACCCTCCAATTCTGGATGGTGGTGGAGAGAACCACAAAGAAGGCAAGAGCTCTCTAGAACCTGCATCAGGTGGAGGCCATGGTGACAAAGCCGGAGGACGAGAATTCCTGCCTGAAACAGGCTACCTTCTCCAGGGCTCAGCCGTAGTTCTTGCTCTGTAAGGCTCTCCTCTCAGAACTACTAACAGCTAACTATCAACACTGACGTAAAACATAGTACTTTTAGATCAATTACTAGTTTATAACAATTAGTAGGTCTAAGTTTTAACTTATGACTTTTAAAAATTGAATAAGCCAGAGCCTTCAAATTCAAGCTAGTGAGGGAAGAGAGTAAAACACTCTGTATACTCAAAATTCTTTGGTCCTGTGGGTGAAGCAAATCCTAGTGCTAGGGGTGGAATTTTACATGAGAAGCGTCTGAGTTGAAGGACAAACTGCTTCTTCTCGCTGGAACCCTGCCTCTGACTGCAGGTTCTATAAGGTGACAAGTGGGCCTTGGGGATTTCCTTGAATGATGGTTTTAAAGCCCAAGTACATACAGAAAGCAGGGAAACACCTGTGTTCAGGAAATGCTCTGTTTTGCCCTTTACTGTCCCTAATGATGCCACCTAAGCTGGCATCAAAGGAAAAGACAGGCTGAGGCTCTGACTGGGTGGGAGAAGCAGTGCTTGACGGCTTGGGTTTGAGCCCTGCACTGCAGAAGCTGGGCCTGGCGGCACCTGTCTATGACCCCAGCGCTAAGAAGTTCATCCTCAGCTACAGAGGGAGGTCACGGCCAGCCTGGGAGACAGAGACCACCTCAGAAAGCAAACAAAACAAGAAAACCTTACGGGGTCAAGGACGGGGAATGATGGAGGGAGCAGCGAGGCCCTCGTGGTACTCACCGGATTGGGTTGGGAGGTGGGGGCGGCAGAGGGGGCGGCGGAGGAGGTGGGGGCGGCACCGAATTCTCTGACTGGTTCACTCGCTTCTGGAGTTCATCCACTGTACAGGGGAAGTGGACAGAGAGCTGAGAGCAACCACACAAAGCTCACTGCGCGCTGTTCATGCAAGCAACAGACACCAGCCCTCTCAGGCCAGGACAGGGTGCAGACATTTCCAGGGAACCCTGTCATCTGGCCCATCCCAGCTTCATCTGGTAAAGCACCCGACCACTGTTTCCCTGAGCAGACAGCAAGGGCCAGGGCCTGCAGAGTAAGACTTGAACGGGCTGAGGGCCTCTGGCTACAGCAGAGGTCACGTCCCTGGACTTCAAAAGTGCTCCTTTTAAAGACGAAGCTTGTGAAACACTTCAGCAGTGGCATCTTCCCTCTTGTAACTTAATTCCCCTCAAACCTGGCAAATGCTAGAATTTCAACCACACTCATTTCCTAGATGCCGGTTTCGTATGAACTTTTCACTCTGGGGGAATGTCATTTACTCACTCATGTTCCCGAGAGACAGGCAGCAGCACTGTCAAAGGACCCGTGAGCCAGCTGCAGCCCAGCACGCTTCCCCACTCCACGGCTCAAACGTAAGCTTGTGGCAGGGGCTGGAGGTGTGGCAGGGGCTGGTGTGTCAGAGGAGGAGCCCTGCACTGCAGCACTTACCCAGCGGGCACAAAGCCAGACCTAACCCTGGGGCCACACCACGAAGGAATGAAGCACACACCACGGCCTGGCGCCTGAGGTCCCGAATGCTGTCAGGTCACTCTGCTCAGCACGCTTATGCTTTCTCCATCGGTCCTTAGACAGGCAGTGTGGGATAGCAGCTACACTCTCGCTGCCAAGCCCTAATCCATACCTGTGCGTCTGTCTCTCCAAAAGGGTCTAGGATCTTCCAAGACAGGGGCATGGGTGTGCGTGAGTGTGGTGTGTGTGTGTCAGTTTGTGTGTATGTGGTGTAGGGCAATGGTCAACATCAAGACCATTTGACATAGTAATATCCATCCTAGGCCGGGCCCACACCTTCTGGGACCACGTGCGAGGACAGGGAAGAAGGAAGCTTTGGCTTTTTGCCTGTCTGCCTCACTCTCACTGGCCAGCCCCTCTACCCTGGTGCTGGGCACTGTCCCTGGTGTCAGAACACTTCTCCGAGTCTCTCACAAAGCCTGAAGACCGGCAGCTCAGCAGGAACCCCACTCCAGCAACAGACTAGGACAGCCAAGACCCAAGTGACAGACCGGGCCGCGCGGGCTGAACTAACACGACCCAAGGCCTGAGGTTCCCACTTAACACGTGTGTTCACTGTCAGGCCTGGCCTGGAAGGTAATATTCCATGTGTGTGACTAAACCTCGGAGATGAAGGGCACAAGCACCAGAGACGAGGGGTTCGTTTTAATAGGAAAAGAGGGAAGAGTGGAATTCTTTCTGGAGACCGAGTAGAGCCGAGGGCTCAACCAACTTTGTCCCCTCCCAGGCCAGGATGGGGCAGCCCGGTCCCCCGGCCTGGTTCTCACAGGGGCTGAGGGGGGCTGCGGTGTTCGTGACTCAGTGACACCCTCGGTGACACCCTCGGTGACAGGGCGTCTCTGCCAGGCCAGGATAGCTGGGAAAGCTGTGGACTGGGGACACTGCTCAGCCCGTGTGACACTCAGGAGCCCGGGGGCCTGCACCTGGCTCCCCAGAGCCCCTGAAAGGAGCGGCTGTGGCGGTGCTCACTGCAACCCCAGCGCTGGGAAAGTGTGTGATCGCGGCTGCCCTGGTCACAGGCCGAGCTGCTGCTGAGCCTCAGACACTAGGAAGAGGTTCCCTGTCCCCTTTTACCAGGCCACAGTAGAGGACAATGCAGCCACTTCTGATGAGAACTGATAGACTAAGATCAGAAGGAAGGAGAGGAGAACCTCCCCTATCAGTGGACTTGGGGAGGGGCATGCATGCAGAAAGGGGGGGAGGGTGGGACCAGGAGGGGAGGAGGGAGGGGCTTATGGGGGGATACAAAGTGAATAAAGTGTAATTAATAAAAAAATTAAAAAACAACAACAACAACAAACAACAGACAAGGTAGCAGGTAGCGGGCGCCATGGCCTGGGGACGACGGGCCCCCACAGACGCCCGGGGAGGCTTCCCAGCGCCCAAATGGTAACTCCCACTTCCGCTGGCCTCCACAGGCACAAGGTGCAAGCAAGGTGCTTAGGCACACGCAGGAAAAACACGCACACACACAAAATAAAAGTAAGTCTTTAAAAAGAGAAACCACGGTGGAGAGTTCCTGAAGTGGACCTCTAGCGTGCACACACACACACACACACACACACACACCCCTCTGCACTGTTTCTCCCGTGGCTTTCCGTCGTGGGCAGAGCAGCCTTACCCGAGTGCTTCAGGTTCCGAGCCCTCTCCTCTGCGCTCTGGCAGCGCTGCTCCAGCTCACGTTTGTCCTCCTCCAGGAGTGCCAGCTGCTGCCTCAGGTGGTGCATCTCCTTGTGCAAGGCCTCGCTCTCCAGCTGCTCCTCCAGCTCCTTGACCTGGGGAGTTACACACGTGAGTGGCTGACGGCCTGCCTGTCAGTGACTGTCAGGAGGGTGAGCGTTTCTCCTGAACTCTTTTTCGAGCAGAAAGATTGCAGTGTGCAGAACCTCACAGGAGCTCTGGGTGTGCCCGTGCCAGAAGCCACCAACAGCCGCCTCATTTTGCTGAGCCGCTGGCTACAAGCTAGAAGCACTGACATTTCAGAGAGTGAGCACAGATTCAGCAGCATCCTAAACTCTCCTCAGCACACACACGTGTTCGTTCTTTCTGAAAAGGTGATTCCTGCATGTGGGAGCAGAAAGAGACATTCTTCACCTTTGGTCTCGGGGAGCAGAGGCCTCCAGTCCGTGTGCCGACGCTTCCCACTGACGAAGCAGACACCTGGCCTGACCTCACAGCTAAGTGTGAACAGAAGTTAGAACTGGAGAGGATTGTGCACCAGAGCCTGTGCTCAAGATGTTGAAGGAAAGGCAGTCGCAGCGGAGGCCTGGTGTGAACTGTGCACACCGACAGCCTGGTGTGAGGACCTCCAGAAACCGACATCAGCCTGGTGTGAGGACATCAGCCTGCTGTGAGGATCTGTGCACACTGACAGCCCGGTGTGCGCTTACCTTCTGCTGATGCTGGATCCTCTCCTCCTCCAGCTGTTGGCTGAGGGTCGCATTCTCGTGCAAGGCTTTCCCCAGCTGCTGGTCCGGCGTGGCGCTCTGCAGCAGGAGCTGGCTTTGTCTCTTCAGCTTGTTCTGTTCAATGAACATCTGCGAAAGTGAAGCGCAGAGGGTGAACACCTGAGCAGCCCTGCGCCTACCGTGCTCGTGAGCGGCAGCGCGTGCAGCTCCAGAGACACCGAGGGAGCACAGGAGAGGCATGCGCTCCCGGAGCCCCTGGGCGGGACTCGGCTCCCCATCCCATGTGCTCCCATGCCTCCTTTGTCATGCCACTGCTGTGCGCACACCAGCCGCCAATGTCCTCCTGCTGCTCTAAAGTGCACTCACACTTAGGGCGGCAAGGGTGCATCGGTGATGTTCCCTGTGCCAGGCACTTTCTGGCCTAACTTTCACCCAGCTTCTACGCACTGACTAGGACGCCTTCACTAACCACTGTGCTGCCTGGGCGATGCACTCCACACCCAGACAGCACTGCCAGACACAACCGTGACTCACATTTTCCCACGACCAAGCATGGGGTTCAGAGAGAAAGTGATTTCCCCAAAGACGGGTAAGTGTCAAGACCGGCGCTCACACTCAGGGCATGCCTCCTGCCCACCTGGCTCACACCCTCCACTCCCCCAGTGAGGAGCCAGTTCATGAGCCGAGTGCAAAGCCTGGAAGGAGGCAGTTGTAAGTTAAGGTCCATTGAGGTGCTTATGATGGGGGAGGAAGAGGACACACACAGCAAACACAGTCACACACACACACACACACACACACA